AAGCGTCCGATTTTCATAGCACGGCATTGTGGCTATCCACGTTCCATAAAATGTTTGTCTACAGACCGCGCTGGGCTACGTTGACATCCGAACTCCTTTTGAGAACAACTGAATGTTAAGCTCGACTAAGGTTAAGTTTCTAATAAACACAATCCATTGCGCATACGGATGCAGCAAGTGAAAAACATCATGGCTAGGCAACTGCGGGAAACGAGGAATCTGGGGAAGTGAAATCTGATGATGAATCACAAGAAAGTCCGGTGTTCTAATAATTTGCATATTCTATTAACTTTGACATTTTCCAGATCTTTTAGGCACTTTTTTAATGAATTCAAAGATAGCACCAACTTCTGTAGAGATCACAAGAACGGTCACGATTAAAACCACATCGACCTGTATATTAGTGCATGCAGAGCTGGGTGCCCACATAGTGAGCATACCATCGAAAGAAATTCTGGACTTTCGATTGACCGTGGCCATATTCAGTCCTCTGCAACCTGACCTGACCTGAATGTAAACAGTATAAACACTATTCTCCAAGATTGGGGCGTGTTACATTTTGGCTCACTGAAAAACAATCGAACACTGATGAGAACCTTAAGAGTGGCATACATCATAAAATTAGAATATTGTGGTTTTACACGATTCAGCCTATCGTCTTGTCTGAACAATAACCTGGCGACTTTCGATTCCATTAACCTGACTCAACTTGGTTTTCTCTGATTAACTCTCTGTGCTCTACTACTCCTCTTTACTGTAGCATATGTTTCTTGATATTCGTTAGTTTCTGCTCCATTCACACATGGGTCGCATTCTCACCCCGTTTGGTTGAATAACTACTGATTTCATGGCTGTAGAGCGCAGAAACCCATCAAAAACTGTGGAACCAGCTGAACAAGATAGGGTGCTTTACAACGGTCAAAGAGGTAGCACGTACCACAATTGGCTCTATCTCGAGTGCAGTCAAAACGGAGTCAAACTCACTAGCATCTATTCAGAACATATGATCCTGAGGTGAGACTGCAATGGATGCATGATATCCATTAAGACGGAACCTGGTGTCTCTCCACCTGTACAATAAGTAATGTAAACGAGCCGAACGTCTCAGAGACCTTGGACAAGGGTGTGCAGGTGGCCAATCAGCGATTGAAGCCCTCCAACATGTCACTACCCCCTCCCCCCCTAACAGTGCCCATGTACTATTCTCAACAAGGCTAATAAGACGAGAGCTCTGCGTAACGCCAATCGGTTCTTCAACCGACAGTTTCACTAAGAAGACCATTGCAGAGAAGCAGATCATCGGAGGGAGCTTGCCTAATTCCAAACAGCACAAACTGGTCGTTTCGCACGGATGGAGTAATTTCCTTCCAGAAAACCCTTTCAGTAACAATGTAAGCTGATGCAATTTGGGCATACACTAGATGTTTGACTTGCACCAAAGCAAATTAGACAACCACGAAGAGTGGGATTCACCATACGCGAAACGAGACCTTTCGTGGGACATTTCGACAATGAACCAGTTTATGCATCTGCAGTTCAAGGTTTCCCATTCGCGAAGTGATATTGTAGCGGTTCTTCAGGCGACAGTTTCGCAACGGCAGTTTTCTCTTTTTGCCTCTTGTTCTTCTCCAAGTTTCCTGGTAGATCCATTCAAGCTGGTCGTGATCATCAAACCAGAACCAGAAGCACCCTCACCCTACACTGGTGTGGCTAGCAGGTTCATTTTCTAACCAGTCCTGTGTAACTAAGGCCTGCCAGGACATGGTTATATAACTATGACATACTTATCAGAACTATCAAGGTTCAGAAATCAAGTAGTGACTTAGCCTATCCATGAGGTAGATTACTGACAAGCTGGGCTACCATTAATCCTTTTCTTCTAAAATAAAGATCCTTCTCTACCGGACACAATTAAGTGTACCATCGAGATTTAGCATATATTGCCATTGTTTAGCGACAGTGATCTTCCACAGGGAGGTTCTTCACTATATATAACAACTTGGACGCTCCCGAGATTAAGCTTTGCTTTAACTATTATGCTTTTAATGAGCTCAAAACGACCGCACCAGCACAATTCCCCACAGTGAGCTCTGTATCGCACGCTTTCCTGGCATTGCCCAGATCTACTTTCAGGTTTCCAATGCCATTGCTTAAATAACAGTCTAGGCCTAGCCAAACTTACTTTCACATTTCGGAAGTTGCAGAATATAATGTATATATAATTCCAATTCTTGGTTCTGTTTCCTCCCTGGACGGATATCCAGAAAGAACGTGAACATTAGTGACAGGTTCTTGCGAACATCAGTAACCAACTAGTCATGAAAACACCGCAGTATTGTAAACCTTCCCTTTGTAGACCTGAATAATAAGTGGAAGAACCTATAACTGTCGACAGACCTAATACTACGCGTCTACTTCGGGGAATGAGTTTAACCATCGCTTAGCGAGTTCCTTCTTGAACGTGAGTACGCAACCTGGTTCTTTCAGCTCCTGAGGAGGGCATAGGCCCCGGTGCAATCATCTACTGCAAAGGCAACACACGGTGCAGACATTGGATACTTTTCACACCGATATCTACATCCTAAAGAATAAGTGGCCTGACGTACCGGCAAAAGCAGAGACGGCCACTTTCATGGCAGTTACT